ATTTCTCCATCCTCTTCCTCTGAATATATACTTGAAATCTCGCTTTCAGAGCTGCAATCACTCCCGTAATAGTTCGTAGCCATCTTGTGAAATTATATATTGAAATTTATGTTTTTTGAAGGAATGAAAGTCACTAACGDGTCAATGTTTACAATACTTTGTCTACTCGTATCCTTGACAATCGCTTTTCTCGGTTCTCGAATTTACGTCACTAGTTACCAGTCTCCTAAAACACGGCCAACACGACTGGGCGTCGCCAGAAATCTAACTTTGAAGGCTGATTTCGAGATGAAAAAAATTCGAAATCGAAAAATTTTTTTTGGAATATTTATTTATATCATCTAGAGATGCCAAAACCGTAAAAAAATTCTAGACCTGATATACACTTTAAAGTTCAGGCTCAATTTAGTCTAAATGTGTAAATGTCTTTTTTCGGTGGACAACGTTAATGACATTGACTGTAGGTATTGATTAATTGATTGATTGAAGACAGATCTAAAGCGCAAGGGATTTTTGAGACAAATACTAAGATTAATATCTTAACCTCATTTTATGAGTTGCTCGTGCTTGATATACATGCATAAAAATCCACAACAATTGAGGTTAATATATTAGAAAATTAGGCACAATATAAATGAAGGCACATTGATAAGTCAAAACGAGTCATCATGCATTATATGGTGTTGTTTGTACCGAGCCTAGACCAAACAGACTGCAATCCAACCAAACAAAATGCAATCTTTTTTATCGAACTCAGTAAGGCCTTTTAAGTAGTAACTCTAAACTTATGCAAGCAACTTACAAATAAATGAACTTATTAGTTCTCATGTTTTACTTTCTTTATTTCAGACCTTTCAGCATGCAAGGAAGGTAAAAATGAATAAGACTATTATTCTTATGACTGTGAAATGGCACGGTTACGACGTTACATTACGTGTAAATAACGTGTATACTTCAATGGACCGTTTTCGAATTACTCAAACACCGCTGTGTTCTTTGATTACAGACTCATTTACTCAGGGCTAGCCTTATTTGAGTGTCTAAATATTCACAAATACCAACAGTAAAGTAAAGAATGCACAACTTCAACAATACAAACACTTTGAAATTCCAAGAACCTTTGTCTAAACCTCGTTRCTTAGTTATTATGCGAAAAATGCAATACACCTCAAAAAGTCAGATTTATTTATACTGCTCTCTCTTAGGCGTCGAGGTACGGCCATAACTCTGTCGCTACAGTTTCGATCTCAGCTTGCAGATCCAACGGTAAAGTTTCAAAAGTTCTTGAGACCTTCAGAAAGACTGCTGAGTGTCACAGTGGACAGTCCAGGTAAGGATTGAGAGTAGTGATAAAATGGTACGGATGGCAATGATATTGACAATTGTAATGATGAGTATAGTAAAGTAGATATTAATGATGATGATGATGAATGATGGCAATGATTGGGATAGCAGGAATGATGTTGAAGATGGTGAAAGACAGTGAAAACTGGTAAAGTAGATATTGATGGTGATGATGATGAATGATAAAGAGGAAGACAATGGCATGAATGATGTTGAAGATGATAAAAAAATAGTGATTACTGGTAAAGTAGATATTGATGTTGATGATGAATGATGAAGAGGATGAGGATAGCATGAATGATGCTGGAGATGATGAAAAAGAATGATTACTGGTAAAGTAGATATTGATGATGATGATAAATGATCACGAGGATGAGGATGGCATGAAAAATGTCGAAGATGATGAAAATTAATAGTGATGACTGATGATTTAGATATTGATGAGGACGACAAATATGATGACGATGGTGTGATGATGAGACGATGATGTTGATGGTGATGAGAATAAATATTATATAACATCCCCTCTAACCTTATCTATGTATTTTTCTTTTTGTAGTTATCCACAAGTCTTCATGTAAGTCATAATATTGGGTGGGAAATTTGAAATTTCTTTTATAACAGACTGTTAGAAATTGTTGTTTAACCAAGTTTTTTTTTCTTTTTCAAAAGTATCAAACACTCAATGCTTCTTCCCCTGTCGCAAACATGGCCAGAACTCCTGTCCTACCTCGTCTTATACAGGATACCCTAACACCGGGTATCACAATACCGTATACCACAACACCGGATACCAAACAGGATACCATAACACCGGATACCACACTGGATACCATAATACAGGCTACCACACCGGATATCATAATACAGGCTACCCTAGCGTCGGATATCATAACGGCTATCACCATGTCCCGTGCCCTACGGCATGCACTCATTATACCTATAGCTGTCCGACATACTGCCCACAGTCCTGCTGCTCACAGGTCAAGCAACGAAAAAGTCCTTCCTCACCGGCAAAGCCGACAGTCCCATCCACACAAGCTACAACTGTAACAACAGCTGCTGTAGGTACAGGGATAGCAAAACCACCGGAGCCTCTCACTCAGGCCCCTGTTCAGTACCAAGCCCAGCAGACCGGATACACCTCATATCAACCCTACAATCAGTGCAATACATGCCACCTTTATTCTTCACCTTATTGTTATACATACTGTGATGAAGCCTGCTGCAAACATGGAAACAAGGCAGGAGATTTGCACGAAATGTTGGCTGATATGAGAGAAAATCTTAAGAAGTTCCAAGCGATCGCAAAACTGGGGAAAAGTTCAGATCTTCCTGGTTTTCAGGAAGAAGAATTTCAAAGCAATGAAGTGCCGCTTTTCGGCAAAAAGGCGAAGTTGGCTGTCAAGACTCTTAAAAAGAACATAGAAAAGTTAGAGGCGAAGATCAAAAGAGGTAAAAAACTTTTTGMAAGTAAAAATAATCAAAATGATCTTCAAGGCAAACAGCACAAATCCAAAGAAGTTAACAGCCTGCCCTATTTCGATGAAGATGAACTGTCAGATATTAATAATGATGAATCTGACATAGACGGAGAATTTTTGGAACTGAAAGAGTCGAAAATCAAAGATGACTACCCTCATATGCATATCCACCCAGACGACAAAAGTACCGAACGTGAAAAAGCTGATAGTTATGTCAGCATGGACAATTATGGAAAGGCCCACAAAAATAAAGAATTTGGTCAAAGGCACCCTGATAGTCCACCAAATATTTACGAGAATTCCATGGGATTGACACAGACACCCAAAATAAATACTGAGAGTTACCCACAATTGCATCCAGAAAACAGAATCGGATCATCTGAAAATGATTTCAAAGAGGAAAAAGTTGGGGATAGGCACCCAGATAGTCCCCCAACTATTTACGAGAATTCCTTGAGGCATACCCAAGACACGGCAGAAGTTAACAGTTACCCAAAAATACACCCAGACAACGAAAGTACTGGGTCGCCTGCTATCGAGTTTCAAGAGCATACCACATATCACCCTGACAGTCCCCCAGCCACTTATGAACAGTCCTTCGATCGTACCCAAAAGGCGACAGCTAATGAAAGCTACCCAAAAATACTCCCAGAAAACAAATCCACCGGGCAATCTGAATCTACGTTTGAAGAAAATGCTACATATCACCCTGACAGTCCCCCAACCACGTATGAACAGTCCCTCGATCATACTCAAGAGACAACAGC